ATGTTGCCTTTCATTCAGTTATGTGCAGCTTTGGAAGGTAACAATGATAAATCCACACGCAGGAGCTTATTGTTTGCATTGTCTTCTTACTGAGTCATTCCACTTAGGAGCCTTTGGAGCCTCAGGACCAATTTCTGCATCCAGACGGGAGTATTGAGAAAATGATTTAGAGCTTAGTGCTTGCTGTAGTACTTGTGTTACTGGTTCACTATGTGCCCAGCTCCCAACATACTCATTATGTGGTTGTTCTGCATACTCTGCAAATACACTCTCAATCCACAGTATCAACAGGCCATCTTACCTGTGTGAAATGGCCACTGGTCAAAGTAAATTTGTGTTCCATATGGCTCTTTCATAGCCTTGGGGGGGATTAAGAAGGGAGATGGGCAGTTTGTAGCAGTGGAAGATAAGGAAGCCTGGGCTTGTTTGCTCGCAAATCAGAGCAGAAAAAAGTCAGAGAGTTTCCATTTGTGGCAACAGCCTTAAGCTCTCCTTCCATCCTCACTTACCAAGCCAAAAATATTATGATTTGAATATTCAGCATAAAACTTTCAGGTATCTTAATAAAACATCAGATAAATTCAAACTATCTGGCTTTTGAGAGATACCTAGAAGCCATTTGATAGTCCTTACGATTTTACTAGTTTTTATAGATAGAAGAGTATAAATTCTTCAAAGAACTGAATAGATGTCCTCACTTCCAGCATGTCTCACTTTGCAGATTTTAAGAATTACCTTTAATTCAGGCACTTAAATACTGGTGTTTACCATATGTTGTTGAAGTATGCAGTAAGATCTTAAAAGCAAAAGTTACCAGTCCCATCTGAGGGAACAGTCATCAGAAGCCACCAAACTAATATTATGTAGGATTTCCTAGAAGCTGTGCGACATGGGGGCAATGCTTAGAGTTTAACCACACTGCTGGAATTGGCATTTCCAGTGTTCCCTCTAAGCTGATTTAGTGTGAGCTAGCTCAGTTTTTTAGCCTCCAGCTCATACATTTTTGCCTTAGCTCAGGAACGATTACTCCAGAGCAAACTAATTTATGCAGTAGCCAAATCACTTGCTCACAACTTTAATGCCAGTAGCTCACAAAGTAGAATTTCTGCTCACAAGACTCCACAGCTTAGACGGAGCATTGCTTCCAACACAGATATGGACACTACGCAACAGGGGGTTTTTTAAGCAAGTTGTTGCTCAGCTGAATCCACCCATAGTGTCATGGTGCTACAGAACGGTAAGCCATACTGGAAAAGATCCTCCATATCCTATCTTTCGTTTAGCTGAGATTACAAATGCTTTGGAGAATGTGCATTTCTCCTGCATGGGAATGCACATCCAGTCAGTTGGGTTTTTTCAAGGGAATCAGACTTCAGTAAGGTTATCTTGTAACTCTGCTATTTACAGGCAAACATTGTGCTATTGAAAGGGACTTGTGATAAAGTCATACAAAGGCTAACATGAAGTTTAGGCACACACTGACTGATCATGCAGAAAAGTCTTAATACCAAGCAACTTTTGTCTTTTTAAAAGCACCTGCAGAGCAATGGTTGGAATTTCCAAGTGCCATCCACATAGAATTATTGTGATTTTTTGAAAAAGAGAAACTTGGTCAAGGATTCCAGTTACTCTTCAGCCTCCTAATTTTAGTATTTATTGGCGATGTCCTTTAACTGTCTTTTTTAAACACTTTCAAAAAACACACCCGGAAGCTAAAACCACATTATTACTACAGCTTCTAGCTAACATTACATAAAACCAAGAGTGCTTGTATTAAGCCATTTGCCACAGGAGTGTATTTGACATGCTTCATCTATTTATGGGAAGAATCCACACAGCACAAACCGAGTCCAAGGCATTACAATTCTCTATACGATTCTCTATACACAAAGGCCAAAATCAGCTCTGCAAATTATAACATACCCACATGCCAGTCAAAAGGACACCAAATGTACAGACAAGGTAATACTTTATTACCCCTGTAAAAATGGAGGACATGTAACTATTTCAATAACACCCCTCATTAGGTAGAACAGAACATTTACCCCTCAGTGGAACGGTTTCAGCTAAATTTCTTGGAAGCTTCACCTTAGGACTAGTAATGCCTTCCTTCTCAATATACTGAACAGGTACATCTTTAAAAAGAAAAAAGGGCCTAACTGGCAGACACAAAAGATTTCAAACTATAAGCAAAATAAAAAAAACATATACCAGGAAGAAAACTATTTTGGTGGTTTGCAACATGCTGAGATTGCCCACAGGTGTATCATCACATTTTCTTAGAATTTTAGTCAAAATAAATATAACTTGCATTGAACAGTTCTGGGTTAGGGAGAGTCAGTATTTTAACGTTGTGTTCAAACATTCAGAGTACTGCATAAGTGGCATTTCTGGTCATGACTGCAGTTTATCTGTTGTGTGGTCATCTGGAACAATCATAATTGTTACAGGGTTGATGCTCCAGCCACATACTGATTCAAGTCCCTTTTCAAGTACAATATCTAGCACATGTTCATCGATGTGGAAGGATAGAACCCTGCTGCATTGTACGTTCATATGTTCATTATGAATCACTTCGTAATTAGTATCTAAGGGACCCACGATCCTCATGTAACCACATTCTGCACTGTAATCATAAAAGCAACAAAGAGTATCTGTGAGTGATATGACACTTCCATGGTGCAAAAAAAAGCTATGTATTCTGAAAGCTGATCACCAACATTCAAAAAGACTGTACAAGAAAAATGTACATTTATGATGCAAAAAATCAAATGTAGAGACTAAATTTTAAAAACTACCACTATCAAAATATCACAGGATTCTCTTTCTTTTGCTTGTGAAAGAGCACTAAAAGAGGAAAGCAACTGGAGAATTGAGAAACATTAAGCCTGTGCTTATTAAATTTGTTGATAAACCTGGGACATGGACCCAGTATGGAAATCATATCATACAGCAATAAATTGGTGTATTATATGATTACCATATCAGGTCTACAGCTTATGGAAGGATTTCAGATGATGACTGGCACCAATGGGGGAATGGATTAAGTCCCCATCCCAAGTTGATCGGGCTCTCAAAGATTATATCCTTACCACATATTCACACTCAGCTTCGAAAACACAGCAGCTCCTCTGCGTGTGGGGAAAAGGTCCAGAAAGAAAAGCCATGAACAGAATCTTGTTTTTATGATGCTCTTGCTTGGTCACAGTGCGTAAGTATTGCATAAGGTAATATCAACCCAAGTTATGAGAAAGTGGCCTCTTCTACTGATAAACTTCCTACCCCTAAAAATGTACCACTTTGAAGTCAAAACAGAGTCACACCTTCCTAAATCCACTGAAATCAATAGGCTTGGAAGGATGTAATTCTGCTTTGGATGGCACTGTTAACAGTAGGCATTTTATCATGAATGTTTAAAATAAATGAGCCAAACAGAAACACAATGAATTAGCCAACAAGAAACACAATGGGCCAATGTTGCTTCTGTCTCAAAGGCTGAACTTGTTTCAATCTTCCATATGCTGAAAGGGACATTAATCAACAGTGTAGTTATGACACAAAACTATAAAAGTTTGAGGGATCATGTTTGGCAGTATGTACTTTTCTGGAGAAATTTAAAATTATGAGGGTAGTTTGTATAAACATTTTAGTTGCCAGAATAACATAATCAGCACAATGTCCTAAAGCCTCACTGTGGCGAAGAGCTTTGAATATCCCAAGAGATTGAACAGCTGCACTAAATCTGTAAGATATGTGTAACCATTTGAAGGCTTATGGTTTTCAACAAACAGGTGTGAACACCAGAATGTAACAGAGCCACAGTTTAGGAATCAGAATTGCCCATAAGATAAGATACTTCAGCACAAGAAGATACTTTTGTCCTTTTGATTCTTACTTTTTTATTTGTATGCAAACTTTAAAAATAGATGTGTTTTCTTAGCTGATACACGAATTCAACCAGCTAGCACACACTGACTTCCAAAAAACAGACAGGCATGACTGTACTTTTCAAAAAGCAAGCACTTAAGCCGATATTTCATTAATGCCTCATAAGAAAACAAAACCCAAGACTCTAGTCCCCATAGAGAACAGGGATAGGAAACACATGAAGCACCAAAAGCCATGATGTAAATAATACCACAATGCATGGCATATACGTAGCCAGTTATATCTTTTGTGCAAGATATCAAATTGCCATCATTTCACAAGTTGAGCTCTTTCTACAATATTCTTATAGTGTACCTGCAGTACCAGCCCTTTGAAACATTGTGAAATATAGACTGTATATTATAAGGAAAATTATGAATTCAGGTGTCTTCTTGCTTGTATTTTCTTTTCCAATCCTTCAGCGATTTTTGCCATTGCCGTTTCACACTTGTATTTGTACCTTAAGGACTCAAAACTGGAGAAATGAAAAAATATAAGATGTATATAATCTACCAAAAGTCTACAGCTGAACAAATGTAGCTTGGGTCTCATGTTGAGGACACCTGACTGAACATATGTGAATGCTCTTAAACATCTCAGAGCAAAAACTATTTTGACAATGGCAACAACAAAGAAAGTGAATAAAAAGAGAATACTAGCTGTGGTTTCACAGTCATGATAAAAATTGAGAAAGAACAGAAGCAGCAATCCTCTTACTAATATCATCAACACAACTTACTGTTGTATTAAAAAATAAAGAACCCGAGGCATTTTCATTAATTATTATATTTTCTGCATTATAGTTTAACATATGTACTTTCTTCGTGTCACCCTTATTTTCGTTAAGTATTGATATTTTGTTATATTCAGACAGGAGTACATTTTTGGAACAGTTCTTTGTAATAAATATCATAAAATAATAAAGATTCACATAATAAATATTCTTTACAATAAAAAAGTTTTGACAGACCTTTGTCTTAAAAATAGTCAGAATTCAACTTTGTGTTTTATACATAAAATATACAAAAAAGCACCACAATTTGTGGCTAAGGCAATAAAAACAGAGAGGGCTAAAGTTACGAAAGCACAGGGTTGAGTTAAATGTTGTTAAACCACAGAAATACAGAAATGTTAAGAGGCTAAAGAATGTTTATACAACTTAAAACTTATGATACCCAAAGATTATTTCTCAGATGTGCAGAAACCAACAACTTTAGTATCAAAAGAACGGAGACGTAAAACAAAAAGGCCCTGCACATATATAAAAGCTATAGAAACTAATGAAGCAATCTGAAGCCATTACGTCTTCAGTGTGCAGATCCTTCTAGTAAGCAATAACAGGTGAAGGAGCCAATCTAAATAAAATAAGGATCCCAAGAGACTGGACTCAGAAATTTTTAAAGGAGGAAGAGGAAAAAGCAGGATGCACTAAGAAGAAAAGGCAGGGAAAAAGGTTTACTAAATTCCAAACCAACTATAACAAATGCTTCCTTAAAAAAAAAAAAGTTTCATAATCCAACTCTTTCATGGGAAAAAACCTTGAAATAATTGCTTGGAAGGCATTAAGAAAGCGTGGGGTGGTGAAAAAGGAGTTGCAGAGAACAAACAAAACAGCATCTTTGGAAAGTTGTCTGCAGAGTAATATGGCTTCAGAATGGCCCATTACCCTCATTACTTCTTTCAGGAGTGGATTACTCACAAACCTGAGACTACTTGCCAAGTCAAGAACTGAGATGCAAGTATGTGGGCCACACTTGCTGAACACCAAGGAAACACTCTGATTTACCCTGGTTGAAAGAAACTACAGCATAGGAAAGAAAGAACATTAGAGGAAGAACAGAAAATGATGGGGAGGATGGATTGGTGGGAAACAATCAAGACAGAAAAGCCAGCCACAACCTGAAAGAGTCTGAGGAACCGAACATTTCCCTCCATAAATCATGAGGGCTTGCCTTGACCCCTAGAGGGGCAACTTTCCAGCTTACAATAAACAGTGTTGGAGTTCTTACATCGGCAACCTGGACGATTGATCCTGTCATAACACCCTCGACACAGTTTTAGGCATCCTTTTGCAGGAGGATAGCAGAGCAAACAAGGCAAAACCAAGGATATAGCTCCCATGCATAAGTACCTAGACCAGCAATGTGACTGAGAACAAGAGCAAGGATTATCCGCATAAGAGTCCCCTTCATCATCATTGGAACAGTGGTAGAAGATCCCTTTGACCAGGCACATACAAGTGCTGTATTCCACCATACTCTCTGCTGAGCACAAGCACTGCCTGTTGCAGGCCAAGCAAGATGGCAAGGCCCTGGGTGCTGTGCACTCTCCACATTTGCACTTCCCGCACTGTTCACAGATAAATTTGTACTGCGTCAAGTCCTCTTTTAAGGGACCCGTCAGTTCATCTACAATTAGAGTTGACGGCTTGGGCTGCGTCCAGATTGGCCTTTCAGACCTGTGGCCTGGCCCTGGCCTAGATGGGGGTAACCTCAGCAGCAGGCCCTGCTCTGAAGATGCGCTGCTGTTGCTTCCAGAACTAGCTGCGCTCCCAGTGCTCGTAGATCTACTCAACACAGGGGCCCTCGAGTTATGTTGATGCAGCAAGTGACCAGGATGGTTGGGTCTGTGCTCATAATTATTATTCACATTAATTGGTATGATTTCATGAGTCCTTTCATGCTTTTCTTGCCTAGGCGCTGTCCGTGGAGCAGACTTTTTCACCACAGATGGGCCTTCAGTGTACTCGTTGCTGCCCCTGATGGTCTTGATCTGGTCCAGGGACAAGATAGCTGTTGGCTGGACCTCTCTTTCATAGTCTACCCTTTGCCTGCTATCCAAAGAAGGCTGCTGAAGGACAATTAATGAACTGCCACTGCCATGTTGACCTTGGGACTCCATCTGTAGTGATCTCTACTTCTGGCATTCACCAGGAACCTGGCATGCATCTGAAGTCCTAGAAGACAGAGAGAGAGAGAAAAACCAAGGGTAAAAAAAAAAGAACAAGTCACAGAGAGCTTAATAAACAACAACAACATCACAGTATATGGCAAGACACAGATTGCTCTAACTAGTAAAACTCATTCAAGGACTGATGCATAGTATCCAGTATGGGCTCCGGGTCCCTGGACACAGACCATTTTAAAACTTAAGAAAACAAATATTAGATGTGACTTTGCAGGGAAATGTAAATAAAACGATATTGCAGTGTTTTAAAAGTAAAAATCTTCTAAATCTACAAACGATGCCTCTCATCACACTTTATTTGGTTAACGTGAGCTTCCCACCTGACTCTTAATCAACAGTAAAGTAGACTGTAACTGCTTCTGGTAGACTCATGCTTCGCTTTAGCTCTGGGTTAGAACTTTACCACAAAGTCTTAAGCATTTATTTAATGCATTTAAAACCCTCTTTTCTCTCCCCCCCTCCCAAAAAAGAGCTCAAAGAAGCGCACAACAAAAATTAAAACATAGCAAATGTGTAACAGCACATAACAAATGCTTCAAGACCACAAGAGTTGGGAACAAGACTCTCATGCTGATATTCTAAATGTTACAACTGAAGGCTCTTGTCTAGATCTTTGGAGGACTGTTTAGCCCGTCAGTTATATCCCAATATCTATCTTTGATCTAATCTTCAAGCCAACAGATTTGTCTTTTTAACTGTAATTCCATAATGCCCTAAGTGGATCAGTAATGGGAAAGTTCCTGAAGGATTCTTTCTAGGTAGAAATATCACTTTCATGAAAATAGCCTAGTACACACAGAGCGATCCTAAAAAGAGTTACATCCTTTTGAGGCCATCAACTTCAACTGATCAGAGAGTGTTGAAACTCTGTTCAGGACTTAACTGACATTAAAGCAGAACGTCAGATGTGAACAACATCCTGTTATACAATGGGTTTTGTGGTGTTCATGGGCCATAAGGCAGGGTGTGAAAAGAGGCGTCCCATGCCAGAGAAGAAAAGGAACATCTTGACATTTATTGGATATTTGCAAAAGGACATACACATTTCCTGAAAAATGAAGAGCCTTATTTATTACTTTCACTAAACCCTAGGGGAGGGGAGTAGTCAGTCAGATTCAAAATGGTTCCTTTCATTTCCCCTACACAGGTATATACAACTGCGGTATTTGAACCATGTTGATTTTTCTCTGTCTTTTCTGGGACCAACAAGACAACTATCAGAGCAACTTTTTGGGAAAGTCCTTTTAAGAAGCATATTCTTCTGACAGCATGCTATGGTATAAGGGTGTGAAAACTTTTTAATTTGGGAAATGACCTGAGAATTCCTCACATAAACCAACCAAATATGCAAGGCAGAGATAGGCAATCTCTGATATCAATATAATAACCACTTTCCTAAATGCTTCAAAGTATTTCCCGTAAATCACCTCACGTAAACCACCCTGTAAGTCATGCCGGCATATTATGGAGAGGCACTAAGGCTGACAGAACAATGCCTTGCATGAAGTCACCAAGCAAGTTCCTAGCTGAGGTGAAACTTGAACCAGAGGCTTCCTGGCTTTCCCACCCAGCCACTGCAGCACCCCAAATCTCTCTTTAAGGCATTCAGACTGTGAACCACCTCGAAAGCCTCCAAGGTGACAACTGAAGTAATGAGGTTCATTTAGTAATTTCACAAATGAACTAATTCTAATGTTAATCATTTCTTAATCTGACAAACCAGCTAATACAGCAAACACGAGGCTTTCTTCAGCACATGGCCCCCACCCAAAGGGCTGAAAGTCCTGCCTTTTCTTTCTCAGGCACAAGTCAGACTGGAACACGCAGAGAAAACAATAAGCAAGTCACCGTTCTGGTTCCCTCCTCCCTCCCTATCACCTGCATGAAGGTGCAGAGTTTAAGATAAAAGAACTTTGCCCAATTCAAATCACACCTTATCTGCCTCACTCACATTTTCCTTTTCTTTGACTTGGAATAAACACGGAGGAACGACAAAGGGCAATGCTGAACAGAGCAGGCACCTGGGCGGGGGGGGGTCTTCTTTCCACCCCTTGCTAGAGGACTACAAATACTAAGGAAGAGCCAGACAAATTTATGAAATGGGGTTAAATTCTTATCTCATTCCAACAAAGATCTGAACAGTCCTGAGCATTCATACTCAGAAGTAAATCCCATTCAGGTTAACAATGTTTACGAATGCAACCTTAATTCCTCCCCTCCTCTCCAAAAAGGGAGGGGGTAGAGAGACCCCACACCTAAACCTGGAGTCCTTTACAAGTCTGAAACATTTTTCACAGTGCCCCATGTGACACTAGCATTTTCTGATGAAGATACGCATTTCTCTCCCTGTAGTAAAGCCTTTTGAAGAGAGAACTCCTACTGGGGAAAAAATTCTTTGAAAATCCAACACTGAATGGATGTGAGAAACCTCAGAGCACAAAACTGGTGAGAAGAGGGTGGCAGCACTGCCCCTCCTCTGCGGATGGAGCTCAAAGAAGGCGATGAATGCAGAGCTGACGAGAGAGAGAGAGAGAGAGAGAGAGAGAGAGAGAGAGAGAGAGAGAGAGGGGGGGGGGGGGGGGGGGAGGGAGAGAGGGAGAGAGAGGGAGGAAGAGAAAAAAGTTATGAATGAAAGCAAGAGATTTTTTTCAACCCCATTTGCAGGAGGAGTGCAAAAGGCTGAAGTTACTATTACCTCAGGAGGGCGGACTTTCCGAGACTGCATCTGCTAGTCTGAGCATGCAGAATCCCCTCCTCCGCTGGGTTGTTTTTTTTTAAGGAGGCGGGGTACAGGAATGGGGATGGGGGGAGCGCCTCTATCTCTGTCTTACCCACCATTTCCTCCTCTCAGCCTCCACACCTCTCCACTGACCTGCTAAAATCTCACTCTTTCTCTGAGGGGAAATCCCTCAGTGCTGACTAAATGTAATTAAACACACACATACACACCCCAGATTAAAAGCAGCCCTAGTCAAAAGAATAATTTCACGGAATGTTTTAGCACAGCTACTACTGCCACTTACAATAGCCAAAAATTACTTGATACACTTACAGTAAACAATAAGTATTAATGAGACTTCCACTTGCCACATGTACATCTTATCCAAGCAAAGAATTCATATCATCTTAACCGCTTAGAAATTTCTGTCTCACATGGGCAAGCAGATATACACAAACACACCATGGATATCCATTCTAGATAAAAGAATATTAAGCAGTCAAATCCATGTTAAGCAATTCTGAAACTAGACACACAATACTTACAAGAGACTGAGTCTCTGGAACACTATTTTTGTGCTCATGTGACTTTTGATAATGTAGGACCAAGTAGTCTTCAAATCGAATTTATATTCTACCTAATGAACACACAGTGATTAAACACTATGTTTGAATTAAACACAGGAGGGCTTGGCATGATGTGGTCCATGCGACTGAAGAACAACAACAATAATCACTTGAGAATTAGGCCTAAATGTTCCCGTGGGTTCACTAACTTTGTACTAGTGTAATCAGCCAAGAACCAAAAACTGCCTTTTCAATGTTTTCATACAACAGAAAATATAATGCACACAAGGCTGCCTTAATGGACGAAGAAAAACTCAATGTTTAAAGCAATTATCCAATAGGGCTAACATCAGTCTCTCAAAAGCCCCTTGAACCAACGTTGGTCTTGTATCCAGTTGTCCCACCTCCTCTGCAAAATTCCTAGGCTATCTCTGCCCACAGCAACAAGTTCACAGTCCTGAAAAACCAGACTGCAACTAAACTTCGGCAGTCTTTTAGGAAAAGCAGAGAGCAACTGGCCTATTCAAATTAGAATCACACAAAAATACGCATACTGATAGCCTTGGCCTTTCCTGGAACCACACACCACAACGACGAAGGAAAAGACGCACAAGGACACCTGTTAGTACTGGAGCTCCCACACGTGCACACAAGGCAGCAAAAATCCATATTGCAAGACAACGGGGACAGCATAAGAGGGAGGCAGACTTACGTATTTGAATGGCAAATCCGCGTGAAAGCACCGCCCTGCTAAGTTAGATCCATAAGGCAGCGTGCGACAAGTCTTAAAACGCTGGAGAACTCATTCCCAATTGAGAGGGGCTCGCCCCCAGTCCTTGATCTCTAACTCCCCTTTGATTGGCGAGGCCAAGTTCTGTGTTCTTCTCTCCTGCTACGCACACACGGCAACCACCAAGCCTTGCTTCCTGAGCAGAAGGAAATCCAACTTGCCTGCTCCCCAAACACCCTTCTTCCCGAAGCTTAAACATTCAATGGGGTGCGTTGCCCGCCTCTCCTCTCCAAAGTTACTTGTTCGTGAAGCAAACAGTTTTCTCCGCCGAGCCGACAGGCACTCAGCTACAGGGAATCCAGAGGAGGCGATATTTTATTTTATTTTTGGCTGCCAGGTAAAGGAGATCAAGCTGGTTTCGCAAAACTGGTTCCGTTCGATCCACAACAATTCAATCCCACGCTGCATCCATACTGCTGGAGAGCGTCGCCTGTGAGCCGCGGAAGGGCTTCGAAAAAGAGTATTTGCAAAAAAAAGGCACGGTCGGTTCCGTCCTGTCCTGTCCTGCCTGCCGCCAACTTGGGAGCTTTCTTTTCCTTTCCAGACCCACGATTTCCCCTCCCCGTAAAGCGCGCGCGTGTCGTGGTGGCTCGACAGCTTCCTCGGCTCACAGGTCCTTTTCACCACATGGTCCTTCGCCCGCGACTCTCCCCTCCGATCTTAGCACAGCCAGAGTGCAACAGGAACGCCTGCTGGAGGGAGAAAAAGCAACGATATTAAAGGGCGCAGAGTCAAAGCGCGGCTGACATAAGAAGAGAGCCGAATTCAAGCAGGGAAAGGCAATGGCTTTCTGCAACTTTGCCATGTGCTTGCCTGTTGCTGTTGCGATCTGATTGACAGGCTTACAGGCAGTTAGCGTATAGTAAGGGGAGGGGGGAACACCCTCAGATACAATGCAGCTCGGCCCTTTCTATACACACGAGAAATCTTGTACTAAACGCCTGTGTGATCCCCAAAGGAAGGACGTTCCAGCCGCGCTGCAGGGGGAATAAAAATGGAGCGCCCCAAGATTGAGCACAACTGCTTACTTCAAAGGTCTTCACTGGACGCCACTACAGCCGCCCCGTGCACTTAAGCTGTCCCAAAGTATAGCATCGCGTTTAAAAAAGGAGCCCTCCCTACGGTTTATTTTTAAAATCGGAGTGTTGCACCACTAAACGTCGGCTGCACAAAAACAGCAAGAGTTTTTTAACACAGAGACGTTCACCAGCACCTGAACGACCTCCAAAATGCTTGCAAAAGATCAGGCTTACCAAATACAAAGGTGAGGAGCTGTTTCCCCAAAGCACGGACGTCCGTAAGCGACCGGAGCGAAATCCAATTTAGCCCGTGGCGGGGGCTTGCCGTTGTCGTCTGCAGCTATCGCTTTGCAAGCCGCGATGTGCTTTAGCGTTGCTGTTTCAGAATGGTCTTCACTCCGCACAACAGCATTTCAGCGCCGAGCCCCCACCTCAGCCCTTCGTCACGCCTCCAATGATGTCAATCTGTCACTCAGAAAGCGGATAAGAAAACCCGGAACGGATTTTCCTTCTCCACGACAAGAGAGCTGTTTCCTCATTCATTCAAGCGCTCGCCAATTGTAACATTCGTTTACCAGCGTTCTGCATTTTCCCCCGAATCACGAAAAATAAGCCAGATGGCGTTCCTCTAGCATTTACTACCCACAAACCAGAACCCCTATGAATAAGAAGGACACATGCCACACCACACGAAACATATGCAGTGGTATTTCGAGACAGAAACAAGGTTTTAGATAGTCAGTGATTCGGAGATATATTCGTTGTGTTCCTTGTATATTTATCATCTGCTTGTCTCACTGAAACCTGCTAAAAAGTCATCGTTGATTTACAGGATAAGTTTTCTGAGTTTTTAATTTATTTATATCCCAATTGATCTGTTATCTGTAAAACTTTTCATATTCTCAACATTTAAACAAAAAAAAAGCTCACATAAATTATGAAGTGCCTGTTCAAGATTACTTAACCCAAATCTTCACAAGCTTTAATGACCTAGTTTGAGCCGGAGTTAGTAAAGGAAGCACAGAGCTGGAAGGTACCCCAAGGATCATCTAGTCCAACCCCACGCACAGTGAAGGAAATTCAGTTTCCCCCACACACGCCTGCACGCACACACTCCCCCAGTGACTCTTCCTCTATGCTCAGTGGAAGGCAAGAAACCTCCAGGATCCCTGGGGCAACCTGGCCTGGAGGAAAATTCCTTCCTGACACCAGGGTGGCAATTGGCATTACCCTGGGCATATAAAAAAGGGCCACAAGAGCCAAGCACTGGCTCATCCCTTCCTGCCCTCCCTTTCACAATCATAGTGAATAACAGAATCAGCATTTCTGACCTCCTGAATAGATTTCTCATTCTTTCAATGCGTAGCAACTATAGCATATTGATGGATCTGGAAGACTGAGAATGTGTTTGACAGCTATATTTCTATCTCTACCTTACCTCCCTACTAGATATTGCCGGCATCCAAACAAAGTAGTAGAACATCAGTTAAATTACATCAATGGAATCTACATAAGAACATAAGAGACGCCAATGTTGGATCAGGCCAAAGGCCCATCCAGTCCAACACTCTGTCACACAGTGGCCAGAAATACCAGTGCCACCAGGAGGTCCACCAGTGGGGCCCCACTGCCTCCCTGGCTGGTTTCCTGCTTCTAATGTACTTGAAGAAAGTTTTATTGTTGGTCTTTACGTTTTTCGCTATATGCTCCTCATATTCCCTTTTTGCCTGCCTGACCACAGACTTGCATTTTATTTGCCATAGCTTGCATTCCGTTTTATCAGCCTCACTGTGACTAGCTTTCCACTGCTTAAAGGAATCCTTTTTACCTTTTACAGCTTCCCTTACTTTGTTTGGTAACCATGCAGGCTTTTTCCTATACCTGTTTGTGCCTTTCCTAATCTGCAGAATATATTTTTTCTGAGCTTCTAGGATCGTAGTTTTAAATAGTTTCCAAGCTTCCCCAATGGTTTTGACCCTTTCTACTTTTCCTTTCAGTTTCCTTCCCACATGCCCCCTCATATCAGAGAAGTTACCCCTTTTAAAGTTAAAAGTGGTTGTGTCAGTCTTTTTGGCCAATTCCCTATCTATTCAAATGTTGAACTCAATAACATTATGATCACTGTTCTCAAGCGGTGCAATCACTTTTACATCTCTCACCAGGTCTTGAGTGTTACTTAGGGCCAAATCAAGGCTCGCCTCTCCCCTGGTAGGTTCCGTGACCATCTGCTCCCTAGCACAGTCATTTAGAAATTCATTCATCATTTTATAATCCTCCTCTATCTTTTGATCTGGTGATTATTTTAGTTGCTTGAATTTGCTGCATGAAATTTTCACCCAGTGAAATCAGTAACAGTATTTACTTAATTGGTGGCATGATTTTATCTCCTGGTATGGCACTGCATTTTGTGTGTTAAAAATATAGTCACATTTGGTTAAATTTGTTCTCCTTCTCGAGATCTAGCACCCCTCAGAGCTTATTTGCAGGCATACAAACGAGCCAGGGTAAACAATTTTATTCATTTAATTCATTTAAACCCCGTCTTTCTCCTCAGTGGGGACCCAAAGCAGTTTACATCACGCTCCCCTCCTCCATTTTATCCTCACAACAACCTGGTGAGGTAGGTTAGGCAGAGAGAGTGTGACTGGCCCAGGGGCAGCCAGCGAGCTTCCATGGCACGTGGGGATTCAAAGCTGGGTCCTCAGATACTAGTCCAGCTTCTTGTAGCATTAACATTATGGCTACAGGTATATGGCTATTCATAAGTATACCAGTTGATGAGTAAGTGAACTACCTCCACTGGCATTTGCAATATTGACAAGAGAAAATAGCATAGCACCAAGATTGGAAACAGATATAAGGTTGCCAACTCTAGGTTGCAATATACCTGGAGATTTGGGGTTGGAGCTGGAGAGGACTGGGTTTGGGGAGGAGAGGGATCTTAGCAGGATATAATGCCATAAAGTCCACCCCCTAAAGCAGCCATTTTCTCCAGGGCAACTGATTTCTGTCATCTGGAGATCAGGTGTAATTCTGGAAGATATCCAGGCCCCACGTGGAGGTTGACAACCGATGTCCATCTTCAGACTATTGTATGTGTATGAGAGTTACAATGACTAAACCAAGGACATTTTTACCATCATTACTTGATAGTGAGGCTCTGTTTGAGGCAACATCAGAGAAAAAAGTGTCTATTTGCTGTCTGCTGTGACCTTTAGGTTAGGTAGATAACAACAATGATCATTATAAGAAAAATTAAATTCATCTTGCCAAAATGATCTCTCAAGATTTAAAAAGACAGTTGCCATGAAATTTTTTATACCTAGGAAGGATTTCAGCAATTAAAATTAATCTACTACCAAAACAGACAGCATAAGAAAAACTAGAGAAATTACCCTGCCAACTAAAGTCCGTATGGTCAAAGCACTGGTATTCCCAGTCAATGTTCCCTTTAAGCTGAGTTAGTGTGAGCTAGCTCACAGTCTTTTAGCCTCCGGCTCACACATTTTTGTCTTAGCTCAGGAAGGATGGCTCGAGAGCAAACTCATTTATGCAGTAGCCAAATCACCTGCTCACAACTTTAATGCCAGTAGCTCACAAAATAGATTTTTTGCTCACTGGACTCCATAGCTTAGAGGGAGCATTGTTCCCAGTAGTAATGTATGGCTGCGAAAGTAGGACCAAAAGGAACGCCGAGCGCCGAAGAATAGATGCTTTCGAATCATGGTGCTGGAGAATACTTTTGAGAGTCCCTTGGACTGCAAGGAGATCAAATCAGTCAATCCTAAAAGAAATCAACCCTGACTGTTCCCTGTAAGGCCAGATACTGAAGCTGAAGCTCAAGTACTTTGGCCACCAAATGAGAAGGGAGCACTCAATGGAGAAGACCCTGATGCTGGGAATGACTGAAGGTAAAAGAAGAAGGAGATAAGAACATAAGAACATAAGAGATGCCAATGTTGGATCAGGCCAAAGGCCCATCCAGTCCAACACTCTGTATCACACAGTGGCCAGAAATACCAGTGCCATCAGGAGGTCCACCAGTGGGGCCAGGACATTAGAAGCCCTCCCACTGTTGACCCCCCCCAAGCACCAAGATGACAGAGCATCACTTGCCCCAGAGTCCCTATCTATACCTTGTGGCTAATAGCCACTGATGGACCTCTGCTCCATATGCTTATCTAATTCCCTTTTGAAGCCGTCCATGCTTGTAGCTGCCACCACTTCCTGTGGCAGTGAATTCCAAGTGTTAATCACTCTTTGGGTGAAGAAGTACTTCCTTTTATCCGTTCTAACCCGACCGCTCAGCAATTTCATGGAGTGCCCACGGGTTCTTGTATTGTGAGAAAGGGAGAAAAGTACCTCTTTCTCTACCTGCTCTTTCCCATGCATAATCTTATAAACCTCGATCATGTCACCCCTCAGTCGTCTTTTCTCCAAGCTAAAGAGCCCTAAGCGCTTTAACCTTTCCTCATAGGGAAAGTGTTCCAACCCTTTTATCATTCGAGTTGCCCTTTTCTGCACTTTTTCCAAAGCTATAATATCCTTTTTAAGGTGTGGTGACCAGAATTGCACACAGTATTCCAGATGAGGTCGCACCATTGATTTATATAGCGGCATTATGATATTGGCTGATCTGTTTACAATACCCTTCCTAATAATCCCCAGCATAGCATTGGCCTTCTTTATTGCAGTCACACACTGTCTCGACATTTTCAGTGAGTTATCTACTACAAAGGATGAGATGGTTAGTGTTATCAATGCAACAAACATGAAACTGAGCAAACTCCATGGGACGGCGGAAGACAGGGGGGCCTGGCATGAAGGTCCATGTGGTCACGAAGAGTTGAACTCGACTCTGCGACTGAACAACAAAAGTACCAAAACTATTTGTGTTTAAGAACATTTTAAAGACCAACTACTTTTTCAGTTTGTATCTTACGAAGGGAGCTTATACACTGAAAATCTTGTTGGTCTCTAAAGTGTCACTGGACTTCTAGCTTTTCTTCAGTTTTGTGAAATTTGTAGTGCACTTTAATGAAAGATATCTGGAGGAGGAATACAAATTCCCAGAATCATGCTGTTCTACTTGCAAAAACCTTAAAATATAGGTGGACACAATTTGCCAAATATTTATTACTTTATGCAAATACAGTTGAAGTTCATTGCTCAGTGGATGAATGTCTTTCCACTTACCCCAATGTTACATATAGCAGCAGAGATGTGTATCATGGTATGCTAATAGAAAAATTAGCCCAAATCTTCCTATTCACACAGTTTGGAAGATTTGGAACAAGTTTTTAAAAGGGTTAGTCCAGATAGATTTGCATTAGGTTTTCCTTGCTCGAAAAGTAGTCGAATCTGACTCTAGTGGGCAGTGCTCATGTCTGT